GCTTTTTTTTTTTTGTTTTTTTTCTTTTTTGGTTTTTTGAGACAGTGTTTCTCTGTGGCTTTTGGAGGCTGTCCTGGAACTAGCTCTTGTAGACCAGGCTGGTCTCGAACTCACAGAGATCTGCCTGCCTCTGCCTCCAGAGTGCTGGGATTAAAGGCTAAAGGCATGCGCCACCAACGCCTGGCCTATGCCTGGCTTTTATTTATTTTTTTTGAGACAGGGTCTCATGGTGTAACCCTGACTGGCCTGGAACTCACTCTGTAGACCAGGCTGGCCTTAAACTCACAGAGATTACCTGCTTCTGCCTCCAGAGTGCTGGGATTACAGGTGTACACTCTCAGCCTCCTATATTTAATTTTTGTCTTAACTGCATTGCCTAGAACTTTGAGTATTCTGTTGAAGTGGTAATAGTGAGAGCATTGTGTTCCCAATATTGGAGGATAAGCTTTGAGTCTTGTTAGTCATGACTGTTTTATGTTAATGGCCCTCATTGTGTTATGATTCTTTCTGTTCTCTGTTGAGTATAATTGAGATGTAATTTTTGTTTGTTTTGAGACAAGGTATCTATGTAGTTGTTGAGCTTGCTATGTAGACCAGACTGACCTTGAACTCCCAGCGCTCCTCCTGCCACTGCTTCCTGAGTGCTGGAATTAAAGGCAGTTGCCATCACACCTGGCCCAGACATAATTTTTAAATATTTAAAAATTTATTGAATACACTCAGGGGAGGGCCTAGGCTCTATCCCAAAGGATATGACCAACTCTGAAGAACCCCCCCCCCCCATGGAAGGCCTCATCCTCCCAGGGGCGCAGAAAGGGTATGGGATAAGTAGGGTGTTAGTGGGGGGCAGGGGAGGAGAGGAGGAAGAGGGAACTGGGATTGACATGTAAAACAATCTTGTTTTTAATTTAAATAAAAAATGGAAAAAATTATTTTGTTTGAGGCAGGGTCCTTGCTCTAGCTCAGGCTGGACTCATAGCTGCTTCAGCCTCCTGATTCTTAGATTATAGGTGTGTGCCACCTTACCTGGCTGATATGTAATTTCACTATCCTATATGATTTACTCTTTAAAGTGGGGATCTGGGATTTATTTCAACAGTACAGTCCTTGCTTAGACTTTTCAACATACTAAAAAAGGACTTCAGCTGGAGTCCCTGTACTGCAAAAACAAAAGTGTGTAGCTCAGCACTTTTTAGTCTTATTTGAAGGGTCCTTCTGGCTCTTGTATCAGACTGGTTGGATGATAGTCTTCAGGTGCCTGAAAACTCACCAGAAGATGGGAGCCTACATCTATTTTGAACAAAAAGTTAAGACAAGGTCTTTTTATGCATCCTTGGGTGACCTGCTGGGTCACCCAGGCTGGCACTTTTGACATTCTGCCTGTCTCTTCCTTCCAAGTGCTGGGGAATTACAGTCATGTGTTATCACATCCATCTGTGAAACTTAATCTTTCTCTCCCCCTACCCCCCAGTGCCTGAGGCTTGACATGCTAGGCAAGCGCCCCTGCCACATGTAGCCCAGGAACCTATGTCTTCCTGTAGCTTCAGAGTACCCTTGTTTTGGAAAAGACTTAGTGTTATCTAGTGTTTGAAGAGTTGGGGCCTATTTCCTTTGGACCCTGATTCAGCTTTGACCTCATTTGGGTTCCTGTGGAGCTGCTCCCCATGTCATTGACACCCAGAGGTGGCGTGGTGCCCATTGTAAATGGGTGTCAGCTTCCCCTGGCTACTCTACACTTGACTCATCCAATCAGATTTTGGAGTTGAGCAGGAGTTTGTGCAGAGGCTCTCAGGCTGTTATCTAGGAAATGGCATTCCTCCTGGGGAACATGGAACCTGTAGGAATGTGACTATGGCTACCTGTTGGAGAGAAGAGGCCTCTCTTGTAGGAAGGAACAAAATAGCTTGTTTGTGTTTGTTTTTTTATAGTGCAGGAGATCAAACCCAAGGCTTTGTACATGTTCGGCAGATGCTGTATCACTGAGCTACACCACTAGCCCCCTAAAAGAACTTGTGTTTTGAATATAGATTATCTTAGTGGTCCTTCATCCCCATGGAATATTGGAGAGCCAGAACCCTAGAACCTCTAGAACCAGAACTTTGGCTGATGGCCAAACATAACTTTTCTTGTAGTATTCTTGAGTTGCCCTGTTTGCACTAGCTTTAAGCTGTCAAGGGTCATTCAGGAAACAAATATGCTCCAAACACAAGCTCTTACCTTAGTTTCAGGAAACTCTTATGCCAGGAGTGGTACTAGATATGGTGTGGGATACAGACTCAGGCCCCTCACAATAGGACAGGATGAGTGGCTGCCTTCCAAGTTAGGGAACCTCCTGGCTGTGTTGCTCTTGTACATTTTGAGTGGATGACTACAGGCTAGTTGCGTTGTTTACTGCTTGGTCAGCAAAGACATCAAGGGAACAGAGATCAGCTCTTGTCATTCTCTACCACATAAAGCCAGGAAGCTGATTATTTAGGCTGCTGTTTTTCTGGGGAAATGTGCAGGTTGTAATCTAATGGGAATCCTGCCATCAGACTCACACAATAGCTCCTAATGGTCCTAGAAGCTGGCCATTTCTGGCAGTTATTATGTGTTTCTTGGAAGGACTGAACAGTTCTGTTCAGCTGGACTGTGTATTGGGCCATGTCTTTGACCTCAAAGGATCTAACTCTGTGTCCCAAATAGTGTTTAAAATAAGGAAGAGAAGTTTTCTTTGTGCCAAAGATGCCCCTCTATAAAATGCTGGTCCTCCCCTCACCTCCTTTAAGCACTGTGGACTAAATTAATTAGCTCTATGTGCTAGTCTGTGTCTTTTCTTGATACCTGTACAACATGATGGGGTTGCTGGTTTCAAAAGGAGATGGGTAGATCAGAGCCTTGCATTCCTGTGTACTATTCGTTTGGGTATTAGAGATTGCTCCTCCAAAATCCAGTGAGTGGTAGGTACAGACAGCGAGAGAAAGGAAAGAGGGCATTAACTTCGTGTGAATTCCAGGCAGGAGCAGGGCCAACTATGGCTGGCCCTGGGAGTGTTAGGGAGCAGGGTTAGTGTGTGGAGTGTACTGGAGGAGGAGCTCTCTGGGTGGGATGTGCATGGAAAGGATCTGTGTAAAGTCATCACACAAACACCAGAATGTGAGCATCCAGCCACTGGAAATGGGCAAATGACGGCAACTCTGTGCAGCTACTTCAGTTTTGGGGAGTGGGGCGGTGACTCAGTGGTAAAAATGCCTTCTGTACAAGCATTTCTCTAATATCCACATAAAAATCTGGACACAGAAGTACACACCTGTAATGTCAGAACTGGGAATCTGGAGATGGGAAGACCCCTGTAGCTTATTGACCAGCCAGCATAGCTGGATTAGTGAGCTCCAGGTTCAGTGAAAGACTATGTTTTTGTTTGCCTGTTTGTTTGTTTGAAACAGAGTTCTCTGAGTAACTCTAGCTGTCCTGGAACTCACTCTGTAGACCAGGCTGACCTCAAACTCACAGAGATCTGCCTGCTTCTGCCTCTAGAGTTCTGGGATTAAAGGGGTGTGCCACTACCTTCTGGCCAAGTCTAACTTAAAAAAAAAAAAAAAAAAAAGATGGAGAATGATTAAAGCAGATACCTGATAGTAAACTCTGGCTTCCACACACACATGTACACACATAATGAACGAACACACACACACACACACACACACACACACACACACACACCAATAGAGACCTTTTCCATTATGATAAAAATCACTTAACATAGCTTTTGCCATTTTAACTTTTTAAAACATACAATTCAATGGCATAAATATACTGACATTGGTAGGCAATTGTAAAGTTACACCTTAGCCTCTTTAGATGGTGTTTTGGATATTTTAAGTATTCCAAGTACCTCAGCTGCCCATTTATGGACGCTCTTATGTGCTTAGAATCAGGTGTTTTATATTTGGCTTCTACTTTTTTTAGATGTAATTTATTTATTTGTATTTTTATGTTCATTGGTGTTTTGCCCGTATGTATGTTTGTGTGAGGGTGTCAGATCCCTGGGACAGGAATTAAAGACAGTTGTGAGCTGCCATGTGGATGCTGGGAATTGAACTCAGGACTTCTGGAAGAGCAGCCAGTGCTCCTAACCTCTCTGAGCCATCTCTCCAGCCCCTACTCCTTTACTGTTAAAAGATGATGGCTGATTTTTTTTTTAAACATTTATTTTATTTATTTATTTATTTATTTATTTATTTTATGTGAATTGGTGTTTTGCCTGTATGTATATCTGTAAGGATGTCAGATCCCCTGGAACTGGAGTTACAGATAAGTGTGAGCTGCCATGTGGATGCTGGGAATCGAAACTGGGTCCTCTGGAAGAACAGCCAGTGCTCTTAACCACTGAGCCACCTTTCCAGCCCCAGATGGCTTGATTCTTTTATTTTTAAGTTCTTGAGTTACCCATTTCCTTATATACCACAAACACTTAGACGGAAAAAGAGATTTCCTTTTTTGGCTTACCTCTTCTTATGAGTACCACAAAGACTTCTTTGGGAGTTGCCACAGGAAAGGCCCCACCTTGCCTTGCATACCTTACTTAGGTGCCTGGGGTGGAAAGATGTGTGTGTGTGTGTGTGTGTGTGTGTGTGTGTGTGTGTGTGTCTGTCTTGGGGGGGTGGGGTGTGTGAATAGTTTTGGAAGCTTAAACTTCACCACTTCCCTGCTTTGTGTGATCTAGGAGGTTAGCCATAAATGTACAGGAAGGGTAATGTGTATGTGTTTTGAGAATCCTGAGAAGTGTGGGGCTTAGTTAGTACTTAGATGAGAGAAATCAAAAGATGAAGGTTTTCTGAGAGCCATTAGTATATTGAAAAAGTCAATGGTCATTGTTTTTCTCATTTTTCTGTCTTCTACTAAGAACTGTTTGGGAAGGGAAATACAATTAATTTTTAGCTAGCATACAAAGTAATGAGTTTCATCATACAGATGTGTTCTACTTTGTTCTCATTCATTGCCCTATTTGCTTTTTTAAGGTACATGGGAATTGGACTCTCAGCTCAAGGAGTCAACATGAACAGACTACCTGGTGAGTCACTGTTTAAGAGAACATTGTTCTGCTCTCATCTGTTCTCATCAGTCCAGCAGCTTCAGATTAGTGAAACATTCTAGGTCCTGAATCTAGTCTTCCTCTACCAGTCTACCAGAGCTGCTGAAAGACTGAGAGGGTCTTGTTTGCAGGATGTCCAGTCATTAGGTGGATAATTCCAAATGATGGTCATTGAGTTAGGACATCTTCCATTTCAAAAAAAATTTTTTTTGTTTTTTTTTTGTTTTTTTTTTTGTTTTTCGAGACAGGGTTTCTCTGTGTAGCTTTGGAGCCCATCATGGAACTCGCTCTGGAGACCAGGCTGGCCTCGAACTCCCGAGTGCTGGGATTAAAGGCGTGCGCCACCAAAGCCCGGCTCAAAAATTAATTGATGGAGGCTACAGAGACAGTCTCATAGTTAAGAGTGCTTCCTGTTTTTCCAGAGGACTTGAGTTCAGTTCCCAGCACCCATGTCAGGTTGCTCACAACTGCTTCCTTGGACCCCTGAACCCACACTCAAGACATACACAATTAAAAATAAAAATCTTTTAAAAATTGACAAGTGATTGTCATTCATGGAATTTGAACTGTTTACTGTTAAATGAAGTGACCTGACTTTACTCCCATTGGGGTTACGCCTCAGTAACCCTCATTCCCATTGGCCCTTGACAGCCTGGGACTCAGGCATGTGCTGGGAGGCATGTTCTGCCAAGCCTGGCTCCTTTGTTGCTTGTTACTTCACCATGTTAAAGATCAAAGTCTTTAAGTGGTTTACCACATGCAACCTAGTTGAGGTGAATTCTGAATAAATAAGACATATGACTAACATATTTGATTTTGTAGCTGTGGGTCCAGCAGCTTCAGATTAGTGAAACATTCTAGGTCCTGAATCTAGTCTTCCTCTACCAGTCCTACATACTTCCAGTTGTTTTCTGCCCAGCTGTTCATTCCCAGTCCTGGCTGGGCACAGCTGAGGAAACAGAAGCCTACCCTAAGAGCTGATAGTTTTCAGGTGATGGTGCTGAGTCTGTGTTTGTCTTACGTGGCAGAGATGGCATGACATGAGCTGCCCTGATAACAGTACAAAGGCAGTGTCTTGGTGGTTTTGCCTTGGAATCCTTGTGCCTGTGCCACAGCAGACAGCTGGCTTTTCTAAAGAGGGACTAATACTTCAGTGCCTTTTCCTAACAACTGTAATCTTTGTCACAGATTTGTCTGTAATGGACTGATTTCAGATGCAATCTAGACTTGCTCTGAATTCAGCTAATTGTTAGGAATTTGGCTTTTTGCTTCTATGTGATTGAAAGCAAAGTGTTTTTTGTTGTTAATCTGTAAGTTAGGTGTAGCCTCCTTTTTGTTTTTAGCTCTCTTATACAGATCTGTTTCTTGCTTTCAGTGTGATCTTTGAACTTTTGTACTGTTTTGGTAACAAAGAAAAGAGATTTTGTTGTTGGAGACAGAGTTTTGTTGTATAGCTCAAGCTAGCCTTGAATTTGAGGTTTTTCTTGCCTCTGCTTCCCAAGTGTTGGGATCATAGATGGGCACCAACATGCCTTGCTTGCCCTTGACCTCATTTCCACTCTGAGTGCTAGATCTTCTTGAGTGTCTCCCCACCTTATCTGAACTCTGCCTGATAATTCCATGGGTAGAGATAATCAGATTGAATCTAGGTAGGGCTTTTTGGGAAGGATGAGACATTTCTGACTTTTCTAGGATGAAGGACTAGCTAAATGTCTGAACAGATCTAGCATAAGACACAGGTATATAGATAGAGTGGAGGGATCCTTCTCAGGAATGACAGTGGGTCTCTCATTGCTCAGTCTCCTGCTGCGTTTGGAAGGTTAGAATACAAGAGTGTGCTTTCACCTTTCTGAGGTTTCTCTCTCTGTATGTGGGGTGTGTGTGTGTGTCTTGAATATATCTGCTCTAAACTGAAGGCATCATCACTTATTAGCAGACCTGAAACTCCTTGCAGGTATTTTGGCAGGGAGGCAGGATGAGTATGATAGCAGCTCAAGCGTTCCTGCCAACTGTTTTTAATTTCCTAGAGGCCCTTGAAGACTAATTGGGTTGTTTGGATGTGTGATTGATGCGAGGGGACTGGTAATGGCCTTAGCTGGGTCCAAATTTTGAGACTTTATTATTTCTAGATGAGATGTTTGAGAGATAACATATCTTCAGGCCTGCTAGCCACCTGTTGGGGCTTCTGTTGGCTGTAGGCCAGTGCTTCATTTGTCCACATAGGCTCAAAGGGGGCTTTATGAATATTTACTTTTTTTTTTTTTTTTTTTTTTTTTTCTCAAGGCAGGGTTTCTTTGAGTATCCTTGGCTCTCCTGGAACTCACTCTGTGGTGATCTCACAGAGATGCCTCTGCCTCCCTAGCGCTGGGACTAAAGGTGTGCACCACCACTTCCTGGCTTACTTTTTTTTTTTTTTTTGAGAGAGAGAGAGAGAGGGTTCCTCTCTTATGTTGCTCTGTCCACCTGCCTCTGTCTCCCAGTACTGGCATTCAAGGCATATGCAACCACACCTCACTCAAATATCCCTTTTGAGATCAGTGTGTACATATGTAATTGGTGGACATATTATTGCTTTCTGTGTTTGTTCACCATCAGTGGATCCAGTGAAGCCATTCTGTTTAGGTATACCATAACTACAAACCTTTCTTCTATTGGATATTTGTGTTTATGTGAAGGAGTTTGTTTGATTTGAGGCATAGTCTTCCTATGTAGTTCAGGCTGGCCTTGAATTCATAGTCTTCCAACCTTCCTCTCTCTGTGCTGGGCTTGCCATATTTTTCTTTAAATTAAAATTTGTATTCTGATGAGGTATTGAACCTAGGACCTTACACATGCTAGGCAAATGCTCTCCCATTGTGCTATCTATTCAACAGGCCTTGCTTTTTGGCCAGTCTTAGAAACATCTGTGTGCAAACTGCTTGTTTTTTCTTCTAGTGTTATTTAGGGAAGGGTGTTAATGTTTTAATATAGTGAAGATGTGAAAGTTTTTATATTTGTCTAAAAGACCTTTTGGGGTGGTGCAGGAGATAGGAAAGCAGAGTCTCATGTATACCAAGCTAGCCTCAGACTCTCTATAGCTAAGAGTGACCCTGAATTCTGGTCTTCCAGCCTCTGAATATTACCAGCCTATGCCATTATAAGCCTGTACTACTTAACACACCATGCTTTGGGCTAGGACAGTTTGGAACTAGCAAGCCTTACAAACAAGATTTTAGTTAACTGTTCCAAAATGCTGTACTGACATTTTCTTCCTTTTTTTTTTTTTTTTTTTTTTTTTTTTTTTTTTTTTTTACAGATTCTCTCTGTGTAATCCTGGCTGTCCTGGGACTCACTCTTTGGACCATACTGACCTCAAACTCACAGAATCCACCTGCTTCTGCCTCTGTGAGTTCAAGGCCAGCTTGTTCTGCAGATCGAGTTCCAGCATAGCCTGGGATACACAAGAGAAACCCTGTCTCATCGTGGGTACATGGGTATTACATATTTATTTATTTATTTTTTGTGCTCATGTCATGGTGCACATGTGGAGGTCAAAGAGGAATTTGCTGGAATCGGTTCTGTTCTTTTACTATGTGTTCCTAGGATTGGACTCAGGTTGGCAGGCTTGGAGACATATGCCCTTGTCTGAGCCATCTTTCTGGCCCTTTATGTTGATCTTAATGATTATACTGTTTCATATTTGACAGGGGAAAGACAATTTTTTTGTTTTAAGGAGAAAGTACCTTTTATTTCTCCATTATGAATAGTACTAGTGTTTGGTATAATATAGGAGGTTGATTTTCCATTCTATGAACACTTATTGTATCCTAGGCATGTAATACTCCATGATAGGTGCAGAAATTTTTAATGAGGGGAGAGACAGTGGTAGGTGTTTTGGCCTGATATTGAAGATTTTCCAGGTGGATCTGAACAATGGGTAGTAAGGCCTGTGCCTGTGAGTACATACATGTGTTTTCTGCCCAGGGGCATGGTCACTGAGGGATAGTCGGAATTGGCTAGTTGGGGGAAGGGTTAGTATTCTTGCCAAGGGCATGGTGATGGTGGTGCTCCGCCTCCTCCTCCTCCTCCTCCTCCTCCTCCTCCTCCTCTTCCTCCTCCTCCTCCTCTTCTTCTGTAGTAGCTGGGGGCTACAGGGTTGTTTTGTATAGGCAAGATATTACCACATTAATTCACCCTAACTCCATGTAGAGGAATGAGGGGCAGAGGAATTGAAGCTGGGACTAAGAACTTTAAGAACTCAGCTGGTCAGGGAACTGTAAGAAGTGGTAGATTATGGTTTACAAAAAGACTTTTTTCTTACCTTAAGATATTAACTGGAAGCATTTAGTCATAAATGGAATGGGGACTGAGGATGTAGCTCAGTAGTGAGGTGGTGGGTTTGGTCCCCAGTACTGCCTATCCCCTAGAGCAGGCATTTATGTTTTAAATGTGTATATATTGAGATAATGGAATATATCTGGTTTGGTTGAGAAGACTCCTGCTAGGTCATTGGGAGAGGTTCCTTATTTTGAAGGCTATATATACAGATTACTTTTTCTTTTGGGGGTTGGTGATGGGAATTGAACCTAGGGTCTTGGCACTTGTAAACTCTACCATTGACCTATACTACTTACTCTATTTTATTTTCTATTTGCAAATTTAGAAAAATTTAGGTGGGCTGAGCAGTGGCGGTGCACACCTTTAATCCCAGTACTCGAAAAAGGAGAAGCAGGTGGATCTCTCTGAGTTTATGGCCAGCCTGGTTTACAAAGCTAGTTCCAGGACAACCAGGACTACACAGGGAAACTCTTGTCTTGAAAACCAAAAGCCAAACAAACAAAAAGAAAGAAAAAACTTAAGTGGGCAGGGATATGGCTCAGTTGGTAAAGTGCCTGCTGGACAAACTTGAAGATCTGAGTTTGGGTCTTTAGAACCCACATAAAAGCTGGGTGTGGTAGCACACATGTGTAACCCCAGTACTGTGGTGTGTGTGTGTGTGT